GTCAACTGTCATTGTAATCTGTTAACTGTCAGTGTCGTCTGTCATAACTGATCGATTTTTGACGTGTAAAACGTGACAATGTGGATTGCAGGCCGACAAGATCGAGGATCCGAAGTGTCGGATGGAGGAGCTGCGCAAACTGGTGCGCAACCTGCCCAAACACAACTACCACACGTTGAAACACGTCGTTTTGCACCTGAAACGTGTGGCCGACAATTCGCACCTGAACCGAATGGAGGCGAAAAATTTGGCGATTGTTTTCGGGCCGACGATTGTGCGACCCGACAGCGAGCCGATGGAAAGCATGGTTACCAACATGAACAATCAGTGCAAAATCGTCGAAAGTCTCATTGCAAATGTACGTTTTTTTGTTTTTTTTTTTGGAAAAAATTTGTATTTTTTTGGTTGCTGCTGCAGGCTGAGTGGTTTTTCCCGGAAAGCGACAACGAATCAGTGCCGCCAACCGTTCAACTGGCCATTCCCGATCACGGCGACGACTCTGACGTCAACAATCAGGCGCTGTTGAACAACATCGGCAAATACGAAGGTTTGATGAGGCTTTCAGGTTAGGTTGACGCCGGTAGCTAATCGGTCGCGTTTCCAGCAGCACTGAAAGACCAGAAAGAGAAGAACGGCGCGTTGCTGTCGTCGCTGTTTACGGCTGCGCATCGCAAGGTGATGCGCAAACCGTCGCGCACGCACACGCACGACGCGAGCCGCGACGAGCCGACCACGCCCACGCACCTGCGCACCTTCGACGAGTTTGCGGCCAATGAGAAGCGGCGCTTCGCCGGCGCCGACCAATCGGAGATGGGCGCCAAGGCCATCATCCCCACCACTGTTATGGAGCTGGAGAGCGGCGACAAACCGAGCGCGCAAACCGACAGGAACTGGTTCAACTACAAAACGGACCAGTCGGACTTTTCCCGGCGAATTCAGATTTTCAAGCAGGAAACGGAGGCGATGTTGCAGCGGCCCCGCAAAACCGAAATTTCGGTTTCCAATATCGGTGAGTCTGGGTTTTTGGCGGAGCCGTGGCAACACTGGCTGACTGGATTGGTGGGTTGCAGACGCGAAAAGTGGGGGGCCGCTCAGCGTGTCCGCCACCAATGTGAACGTGTGTGCGCGCGCAGCGCCCGCAGCCAATCAGAACAGCCGCAACTCGATGGACTCCGCCCACTTCAAGGGCGGCGCCAGGGCGGAGGCGGCGCGCCACTCCTATGGGGCGGGGCTTGCGCCCTTCGGCGACGTTGCCCGATTGGGGCTGAGGCGTGGCAGTTCGGTGGAGAACGTCAATGCCAGCGTGCTGGACGTGAACTCCAATGGCGGACTGAAAAAAGTCCGATACGAGCCGGAGGTGAGTGTTTCCCGAGCGTAAACCGACTCAATGCCACGTTGCCGTTGTGCTTGTTTTTTCCAGGGCGACAGTCAGCGCAAGGGCTCCCTGGACTCGCTGCACAAAATCCCCACTGATGACGGTGAGTGTGCGCAGTGCGCCCGCTCGGTACAGGGTGGCCCCAATTATTCGCGACGGAAAATGAGTTGCGTCGCGAATAAGGCGGGCCGCCGTGTGATTGAGGCGAAAATTCAATTGTCTCACCCTGTACAGGCTGCAGTGGCGCCGTTCCCGGATGGCGGTCGGTGCGGCCACCTTCGGTTGCCCCCCAACGGCCGCCGCGCACCCGCCACTTGTACAATCGGCTCTAAATCGTGATTGGCCAGGTAGTTGTGTTGATGGTGCGCAGATCGTTTTAACCAGTACGGAGCGCAGGCTGCGCTCCCGCTTTTGCGTTGTTTTCTGCGCTTTATTGATTTTCCGCTAACCAATCAGTCGACTGCGCCGCATCGCTCGATTCATTGTCTCTTTAGTTAACACTGAACATTTCCTGCACTCCATGTGCACGTCATCCAGGCGATTGGAACAGTAATGGTTTGAGGCTCAATGGGAAAGTTGTGCTCTATCCAGTTTTACTATCTATCTATCGCATTTTTCCAGCTCTACTGGTTTGCTCGCAAAAAAATTTAAAAAGTCCCTTTGCAAAAGAGTCAATAGAAATTCGCCAAAAATCCCCAAAATGCGCCAACAAACTGCAGTTTGCCTCACTGATAGAGTTGGATGTGCTCTATCCAGGGGCGTATCAAGCATGTTTGTAGCTCCATTGGTTTTTTTGCAAAAAATTATTGAGTCACTTGGCAAACAAGTGTCGCGTGTTGGTAAAACTGCGCTCGCCTGATTAAAAATTTGCCAAAAATCCTCAAAAAGCGCCACTAAATTGGAGTTTGCGGCACTAATAGAGTCAAGTGCGCCCTATTCAGTGGCGTTTAAAACATTTTTCCCGATCATTTGGCTTCGTCGCAAAAAATTCCTGAAAGTCAATTTGCAAAAGAATTTATCGTGAAGGCAAAAGTGCGCTCGCTTGATAAAAAAATCGCCAAAAATCCCCAAAAAACGCCACTGAATTTTAGTTTGCAGCACCAATATAATCAAGTGCACTCTGTTCAGTGGCGCCACAACCATTTTTCTAAATTTTTTGGTTTGCTCGCAAAAAAATATTGAAAAAAGGCACTTTGCAAAAAAGTGTAGCGCAAAGTCAAAATTGCGCTCGCCCGACAAAAAATCGCCAAAAATCCCCGAAAATCGAAGCTGAACTGCAGTTCGTGTCACCGATAGAGTTGTTTGTGCTCTATCCAGTGGCGTATTAAGGGATTTTCCAGCTCTATCGGTTTGCCCAGAAAATTAATTGAAAGTCACTTTGCAGACAATTGTAGGGCGAAGCGAAAAGTGCGCTCGCCCGAAAAAACTTCGCCAAGAATCCCTAAAACACGTCAAAAAACTACAGTTCCTGGCACTAATAGAGTCGAGTGCGCTCTATCCAGTTGCGTCTCAAGTATTTTTCTCCCATTTTTGGTTTTCTCGCAAACAATTATTGAAGATCACTTTGCAAAAAAATGTTGCCCGAACTCAAAAGTGCGCCGCCTGATTAAAACTTCGCCAAAAATCCTCGAAAACCGCCATTGGCTTGGAGTTTGCCTCACTTATGGAGTCAAGTGCGCTCTATTCAGTGGCGCAACAAGCTTTATTGAATGCGCGCAAAAAAATTCCTGAAAGTCACTTTGCAAAAGAATTTGGCGTAAAGTTAAAAGTGCGCTCGCTTGATAAAAAAATTAGCCAAAAATCCCCAAAATGCGCCAACGAACTGTAGTTTGCTTCATTAATAGAGCTGAGTGCGCTCTATACAGGGGCGTATCAAGCGTATTTTTAGCTCGTTTGGTTTTGTGGCTAAAAAGTCTCGAAAGTCACTTTGCAAAAAAAGTGTCGCGCGATGCCAGAAATGCGTTCGCCCGATTAAAAGATCGCCAAAAATCCCAGTATTTTGTGGCATTAATAGAGTCAACTGTGCTCTATCCACTGGAGTGACAAGCATTTTTTCAGCTTTATTGGATAGCGTGCAGAAAAAATCTGGAGTCACTTCAAAAAAAAATGTCCAAAAATCCTCAAAAAAGCTAAAAAGTTGAAGTTTGTGGCACTAATAGAGTCAAGTGCGTTTCATCCAGTGGCGTATCAAACAATTTTTGAAAATCGCTTTGAATTAGAGCGAAGTTGAAGTGCGCTCGTCTTTTAAAAAATCGCCAATAAATCGAAATTTGCGGTCCTAATAGAGTCAAGTGCCCTCTATCCAGTGGCGTATCAAGTAGTTTTCTGGCTTTATTCGTTTGCTCGCAAAAAATTCTGGAAGGTCGCTTGCAAAAAAGTGACGCGCGAATTCAAAAGTGCGGCGCCTGATTAAAAATTCGCCAAAAATGGTCAAAACGCGCCACTGAATTGGAGTTTGCCTCACTAATAGAGTCAAGTTTGCTCTATCCAGTGGAGCATTCGCTATTTTTCGAGCTCTATTGGTTGGTCAGGTAAAAATGTCTGAAAGTCGCTTTGCTTTAAATCGCTGCGCAAAGTCAAAAGTGCGCTCGTCTTTAAAAAAATCGCCAAAAATC